GTGATTGAAAAATAACACGTGACCTATAAAATTTTTGATTTGTAATAGAAAAATAAGTTGTGACCAATAATTTGATAAGTTGTGGCTAAAAATTGATTAAATTGTGATCAATGTTGGTTGGTTTTGACGTTGACGGTGGTGGTAGTGCTGTTAGAGACAGCATTGAAGCAGTGGTCGTAAGTGTTGGTGATGGTCACAAATTATTTAGTTGATTGTAACCAGTGAATTGATTAATCTGTGACCGATAAAAAAAAGTGACCAATGAAAAAGATAAATTGTGACAAAAAAATAATGTGTGACCTAAAAAATTAATAATTTTTGACTATCTAATAAGTTGTGACATATAATATTTGTGATCTGTGACCTATAAATTTTATTATTGGTGACCGAAAAATAATATGTGACTAAAAATTAATTCGTGACTAATTAATTTTTTGATTTGTGACCGATGAACAAACTGTGATTTATAAAATTTTTGAATTGTGATCGTAAAATAATTTGTGATAGAAAATTCCTGATTTCTGATCAAAAATAATAAGTGACTAATTAAATTGTTAATTTGTAATCAAATTGAATAGATATGTGACCTAAATATATTTAATTAATAAAATAATTAATTAATTAATTAAATCACAAATAAATTTCAATAAAAATTCGATTTTTGAAGTTTGAAACTTATTTTCTTAATTTTGAAATATGTCATACTTAATCTCTTATGAAATTTTCCCAAGAAAAATTCCCATAATTATTGTAAGCTCATTGTGCACCATAATGGGATTCCTCATGAGGCGATGTATTTGCAATTTCCCTTGAAATTTGCTTACGAAAGAATATCACCTCTCCACAAGTTCGGTGAGCAAACAGAATTTTGCTTCCACTAATTGAATTGCAATTCTGAACGTTCAAATCCGTGGTGTAAAAATGAATGGGCTAGTCCAAGTCATGGAGTCGACATCGCCAGCATATGTTAAAGGACCGGCCGATAATAGTTCTCGAGCTAGGCCGAGATCGGCCCACAAAAAAATTTGTTAACCCGACCCCCCGGCCAAAATTTAAACTTTTTGTTGACGGATGTCCGCCGGCCTTAAAGAAATTGACAGTCTGTCATTGTTCATTAGCTCAAAGACGTTGCTCTGTCCATCAATCTGTAATTTTAAAATTTTATTTTTGTAATATTTATCTGTCATTTAACTCTAAGAATTTAATTAATTTTTTAAAAATGTTATATGGGCCCAACGATTAAACACTCGAGTCCAAATATTTAACTTGGACTGACCCGGGTTTCTCGTTTATTGACCCATGGAACGGCCCACTCGATTTATTTGCTGAGGGCAACTTTAATCCTGAGTTGATCATGTCAGGTTCTTCCAATTTGACACTACTAACCCTATAATTTATATTGAAAATAAATAAATCTGATAAACTTCTGGGGCAATGTACTGATATAAAGGTTGAACTCCAATCTTGAGGGTCTCCACCGCCCCGCCTCTAGAGCTTTGTGAGGGAGGTAAATCGCAGGATGTGCCCCAATAAGTTAGAGAACAAGAGTTATATGTATACTGCGCCTACAAGGAGTCTTATTCCATGTCTCAGGAATCGAATCTCCACACTGCGACTGCCAATAAGGCGTGAGATAACGTCATTCTTGTCATTTGCATCATTGGACTATGTCCCGAGAGCACATTCTGCCTTTATTAGTTGTAGATATAGTTAGTTAATCATATTTCTGAACCAATTAAAATATTATAATTACTTCACATAACTAATTAAAATGAGCACATTTAATATTTAAAAAAAAAAAAAGTAGATTTGTCTTCAAATTAACAACCAATAGTTTTTCTACCTTATAACTTAGAAGAAAACCAAATCATTTTAGTACATTATTCTCAATTATAAATATTGAAAATGACATATCAGATGAAGACTCAATGGACATCTTCAAAGAAGACAGATCGCTAGAAAGGAAAATTAATGCATGATCCATGTTTTGTGAAGTCCCACAAGCGAACAATAACGTTGACAAGTAATAAGCAAGCAAAAGTCTAATTTCGCTATGAATAAACCTTAAATTAAATATATTAACTCGTTTTCGAACTCTTTTATAATCATTTTATAAGATTATTATATTTGTGTATTTCTAAATTATCCTAATTCTTAAAGTTTTAAATAAATTACATATGAGAATGAAATGTTGGAATTCTGAATTCACTTATTGTTATTCTATTTTCAATTATTGACCCATTGTATCAACTTCGTCATCCCAATTGTTTTATATATCTTGTTTAAATTCAATGCTTGCATCAACAATCCTGATGTTGCCTTTGGCTTCCGTGATGAGAAAATAAAATCCATATTTGGTAGGAAAATTCATTGCTGTGACTTGTGTGTGTGTGTGTGTGTGTGTGAGAGAGAGATTGCGTAGGTGTTTGAGAGTGTGGGGTTGATTTTCGGATATTTTAGTTAATCTAAGTTTGTACAGATTGATTGATTTAAATTAGGGATCATGATTATTTGTAAAGGGAAGCGTTTCTACTACAAATATTTTTGACAAATGAAGTTAACAAAAATATCTCCTCCCTTAATATGAATCAATCCAACGTATCAGATTTACTTTCTTAAAAGTAAAAAAAAAAAAAAAAATTATAGAAATTTACTCCATTCCTTACCTCCATCCATTAAGGCCCTGTTTGATCCACATTATCTAGAAAAAAAATATATTTTTAAATAGTGATTTAATGTCATTTTAATTACACATTCTCGAATAAAATAATATTACACGTAAATGCAAAAGTTTTTCTTATTATTTAATAATATATTTTTCATTATTACACTATTTAAAAATATATGATTATAAAAATATGTGGCTCAAACAAGGACTAAATCGCCGTACCCCATCCCCCAAATAATTATTTAAACTATTCAAGAACGATCATCATGAATAGCAATGAAAAAAGTGAAATCGCATCTCAATTCATCTTCACAGTCAATAATTGCGCTGGAAATTGGTACTCCATCCACCTGGCACAAACCGGGTCAAAAATTTATTCGAATCATTACCCTTTATTCAAAAATTCCGAGGCAAGATTATTCCAAGTTTGGTCCCCATTTTTTAAAATAAGAATGTACGGAATAATATTTTTTTTAAAAATGAGTGATTGAAAAAAAATCGATTTATATGTAATATTATTTTTTGAAAGATTAGGTGAATGAAAGTAGAAGAGAGAAAGATGAAATATAATTAAGGCCAAACGGGATTTGATTAGTTGACGAAATTAAAAAAAAAAAAATGAAACGTAATTCAATGAAGGGGGTTAAGTAGGGAGCCATGCGGGCTTATGTAATGGCTGACATTGTCATCCTTCTACAAAGTTCTAGTTGGGTGGAGGTAAGGAGTTTTGTGGGAGAAGTATTCCTGGTCTAAAGGTACGGACCTACTACTCAAACAAGGTGGGTCCCATATAAAAATTGTCCACAATATTCGCTCACCCTGTTTTGACTTTTTAGTAGTCAGCAGGCAGCAGGGGCTCTATGTGTACAAGGAATAATTCTGTGGGTGGGGTGAAGAGTGTGGGGCCATTTTATTTTATTTTTTCTAGTATTTTTAAGAAAATAAATTTGAATCATTAGGCATTGATAAATTATACACTTAGTCGGGGCTTTAAATAATGATATTTTGTAGTTTTTTTGATGAAATATAGCCCCCCGTTTGGCCCTCATTTTCTGTAGATGAAAATGAGTGGAATAGTATTTTTTTGAAAAATGAGTGGTTGAAAAGAAAAGAAATTTTTCGATTTACGTGTAATATTATTTTATGGAACATTGTGTGGTTGAAAATAGGAAATAGAAAAATAAAATGTAATGAAATGAAAATTAATGAAAACCAAACTAATTGTGCTATATTGTATTTAATAGGTAAAACTCATGATTTGATAAATAATTTGAGAAAACAAGTGAAAAATAGAGAAATTGGCGAAATCAAAACTATGAACATTAAAAAGCAATAACTCAAAAGTTGTGTTGGATTGCAAGACAGTGATTCAAGAATTCCAAGAATCAATTGGAGTTGAAAAGAAGTTATGGTGACGAAAAATCGTATAACAGGATCAAAATAATTAAGTCGCAAAAATAAAATAAATAAATAAATAAAAAGTTGCAGTCTAATTGGCAAAAAACTGGATTGCCACATCACATTTCCTGTAACTCAAACTATCGAAATGGAGAGAGTGACACAGCTTAAAACAAACTTGAAGTTTAGTGAACAACTTGAAACAAAATTAAGTCCAGTGACCAATATGAGATTTCGCTAAAAGTTTAGTCACCACCTGTGGAATTAAACCTAAAAAATCCTATAGCATAGACATGGTATATTAACTAACAACTGTCATGCATCAGGTCACACTAGAGTAACTTATCACTTCACAGATTATAATTGAAGCCTCTTATGCTCGGACTCTTCGAAATGATTGGAGCACCCGAGTCTGATACGACACTACATGAGTATAGATATGGAATATGTGTCGTATCCTCCAAATTACAATCGGACACTTTGCTGTTTTTGCTTCTTCTTCTTCGTTGTTTCTTCTTTCTTCTTTTTTCTTTTATTTTCCTTTTCTTTCTCGGTTCTGCTCTTTATAAACCTAGCGCTGCCTCCGCGAGAGTGAAGAAAGGCGACAACGTTAGTTTTCCTTTCTTCTTCTTCCTTTTTTCTTTTCCTTTCTGTATTAGAAGTCTAATGATTTATTTGTATAAAATGAAAATGGATTCTACTTAATGCTCCACTCAATCCAAATTACAATCAAATCCCTCATTTTTATTTTATATAACATTTAGTAATTAATTTCTCATAATTGAAAACTAAACCCAAAAATTCTATTTTATTCGTCTTAATCCCCCCTTCAACACTCATTTCTTTATTTATGAACAATTGATTTTGGTCTATTCAAAATGACATCTTGAATTAATAAAAAAAAAAAAATTGAAATTTGAAATACATACCCACGTACCCGTGTCCAAAATTTGTACTCTTTTTAGGCATATTCCCGTATCCTATATTTTAGAAAATAAAAAATTCGACGCTTAGATACGTACCCTTACCCAAGTCCGAGCATCATAGATTTAAACAAGAAGTCCCACGGATTTATAATTAAGCAGCGGGTCCCATAGAACGTGTGGGAAAAAAGTGCTAGTAGATGTGGATACTGAGTCATATAAAATGTGTGGATAAAACATATGTTTGATCAAAACTGATTATAATTTAAACGCGTTCCAAACAAGCACTTAAATATTTCACTGAAGAAATGAGTAAATGCAAAAAATGCATACTTTAAAACAGGCTCCGGAACTTTTCCTTTGCTCTGTGACTTCGTACTTCCATTCCACAGAAGCCTGGTCTGGTTCCAGCGCAAAAGACCTACATCAAGGAAAACGAAATATTGCAACAGCAGTCACAAAAATAGCTAAGTGAAAATGCAATGAGTTCAAATGGACATCATGCACCACAGGAATATTTAAGATGATTGAAGAGCTGTCCATTGATGAGATTTTTACTCATCAGTTTCACGAGAAAAAACAAAAAATTGAATATACTTGCCATGATTTACAAATTCAGTACAGTTGCTTGTGCTGCCAGTGCCACTGTACAGATTGAGGCTCTGATTTGATAAACTAATTGATGATACGCTTCTCTGAGAATGAACTTGGCTATTGTCCATATCACACGTGCTGGTGCTCCAAAAATCTTCTGAAATGCTCGGTTTCTTCACCTCTTGTCCTTGAATTCTCAATCCTTTTGATGGTTCATCCACCGCAATAATTGGTTGGGATTTAGCACAGCAACCAAAACAACGTCTGCTCTATTACAATTCAAGTTTATACGCTTGCAAAAAATGCTGGCATGAACACGATACATTTAATACACAAAACAGGTGCACTTCATTACTGATATCTTATCAATTAAAGTAGCATGTTTTTAAGAAACAATTGACATGAAGTTATTCCACGTCATGCTTCCCAAGAAGGAATATTATTGTCACTAAAAGTTATATATGCACATGAGTACACAGATTACTTTAGAAAATTTCTTTGGACGCTTCCACAATAAATGGAATTGGAATCAGAAAACATTAAAAAATTTACCATCAATAAATAGGAATCCTATTGCTCTTTTTTACTATATCAGGTGCATGGAAGAGGAAAAGAGGGCAAGCACCAAAAATATTAAGAATTTTCTTGACAGCAACATGTAAATGGCACAACATTGATATGCCACACAGAATTTCCCATAAAGACAACATTCAAGACCATGCTTGAAAATTTTGTTTTCAAATTAAAAAGGAATAAGTCCATGTTACAGTAAATCACCTTGCCTTGCCCTATGAGCACACACATCCACGAATGTGTCAAAGTTCAGAGGAAGGCAAAATAATTCTTGTATTAACATGTGATAATGTGAAGTACGAACCCGATCCCTCACTATCTACCAGTTATCTTAACCTGTTTCTTTGCCTAAACTTATCCTAAATCATCAGTCTCTCAACTTGCAAAATACTATTGGACAGCCCATTTATGAAACATGACACAAGATTCAAACTTCTACCACTACATAAATCCTTTTCCGTCACTTTGGTAGGCTCATAAAAGATTTATAACTAAGCTTCAAACACCAGCGTCTAGAGGTGGCAAAAAAAAAAAAAAAAAGGCAAAGCTTATAAATGCTCAATCGGGCAATGAGCCGTTTCATCTCTGTGAGGCAACGGGTAAGAGTCCAGACAAAGCAATAAAACAATTCAAAAAAATTATAAAAATACGAAAGATATCTGGACAATCTATCATAAAACAGAGAAACAAAATTGAAAGACTAACTTTAAAACAAATATAAAATAGATCAATAAAATAATAAATAATAAGTTCTTAAGCTTGTAATCAAATAACAAAAATCTATTAATAGAAGTAAAAATAACCTAAAGTTCTCCAACCACACATAGGATCTTAAAGAAAATCAACGTATTTTAATTCCCCGCCAACCTCCTCATCATTGTTAGTTTCTTAATGTTATTTATCATCATTCTCCATTTGCAATGGTGATATATTATTCCACGTCCATTTAATAGGTTGAGACCAAGGAGAAAAAAGCAAACAAAAAGTTCTAGACTAATAAAAAAAATTCCAAAAATGTTGCGGCCATAAAAAGTTAATAAATGCAAGACAAAATGGATGCACGCCATAGCCACCTAGAGGTGTAAGCCTCAGTGAATCGAGAATTAAGCCCTGAAAGTGACACTTAAGCCATAAGCTTCAAGGCATTTAATTAGAACTTCATGCAAGGTAGGACTCAAAGGTGCAAGCCTCCAGAAACTATTTAAAATAATGAAAACAATTATAGAAACAGGATGGAAGGGCTTTATGACAATTTCCATATAGACATAGTGATGAGGACATCCAGCCGTTTTTATTTATTTCTAGTTGGACCTTATTTCATTTTGTGGACTTTATTTTGTTTTGGATTCTTATTAGGCTTATATTGACCCAAGCCCAATTTAGTTAGGGTTTTTACTATTTAAACTATTTTGCATTGTAATTTATTTTCAGCTGATGATTGAATAAAGATATTTGGTGGCTTGTGGCGAAATTCCACTCTTCCCCATTATTCTCTTTTCCCCTGTTTTCTTCTTCTACTATCTCTTCCCCTCATTTCTTCATCATGTTCATTGATTCTCTCTCTATTAATTTTCCTATTGATACTGCATTAAATTTGGTATCAGAGCCGAAACTTGGGTAAGTTCTCTTCTAAAATCCAAAATTTCTCTCCATCCTCTTCCCAAAAATTTGTAGATCCCAAAACTTGTGGAACAACACAAAAACAATGGCGGCAGCAGTTTTTTTTAGTTTTCCCATCTTTTCATTATTTGTTCTTCGTTGAAAAAAAATAAAAAATAGTACTGTTTACCCGCGGGAAAATAAAAATCCGACTTGTTACGTTACAGCTGCTACTTCCTGCAAACCCTAATCCACACACAATCCATTATTAATCCAAAAAAGCCCATTATAACACCCAGCCAAATATTCTGGTCTCCAAATCATTTAACCCGTTACTTAGGTCCAATCTTCATCCACATAACCATAAGTAGCCCAAGTCCTAGAGGCCATTATCCACATCTCATATTCAGCCCAATAACGCAATTACATCAACCCAATTATCCAACCTGGCCAATAACCTAATCCCCAGCCCACTTATCACATATTTACCCAAAACCCATAACTCCTACCCATAATCAGCCCGCACATAATAGACCTATTATTCCAAGCCCAATACCCACTTCCCTGTTCAATAGCCCAATTCCACAATGATTCCAAAGTCGCTCATTGATGTCACCCACGCCAGCGACCACCCAACCCCAAACGCCGACGACAATCGTCTACTCCTGCCGACGCCACCCACGTCGGCGACCAAGCCATAACTCTACATCAACCCAAGCAACCCACTACCCAAACCCTTTCATAACTCGAGCCCATTCTTCAACCTCGTGACGCCTCGTCAGCCCCGATTGCCGGCGCCACCTCCACTAAAACCGACAAACCCACAATCGCACCCCAACACCACCTCCATATCAATGGTCACCAGCACCTGCTTCGCCCGCTTCTTCAGCTCTCGTCGCCCCACTGCAGCTGAATCTCCCTTCTCCACAAGCCTTCACCACACACTCAGCACACGCCCAATCCTCCTACTGTTCTATCCTCTGACTTTACTACCTCTTGAATCGAAAAGCTTCAGGAAGGCCTCTGCCTTCTTAACAACCAATCCCCACTCACCGCCACATAACCACAGTCACCACACTTTCCACGACCACCCTCACTGCCAATTGCTAGTTGTCATCCATCGCCCGGAGTCCAGCTTTCATTTTATTTTTCACGTCGGTGGACTTCTTCTGAGTTCAAAGTACTAGGGACATTTGTTGAGTTGGATTTGGCCTATTATTTGCATTAGGGCAGCTTGTAAAACCCTTGAAGATCGGTATTCCATTCAGCGACTCAACTGCTTAGGAGTATTCCATTATATTTTTTTACTGGAGACGTGCCAATTGAGAAATCATATTTGGGCACGGTTCTGATTCTTTGGGTCCTAAAGTACATCGTCATCAAGTTTAAGCTTCCGTGGGCACCACTGCTGCAACTAAACAACGGGGAATTCTTGACCTCTATCTATTATTGGTGTACACTACCGCTTTATTTAAAATTGCATCATTTAATTTGTGTTGCTATTATTTGATAATTGTAGCCTTAAAATCCACTTGATTGAAACTC